TTTTACCCATTTACTATTACAGTCTCTCGATAACTCTTATTTGTTTGTGTGTTTTCATTGGTCATTTGATAAAATAAAATATTCTTGTCACCTCTTGTTTTGTAGAGTTTTCGATGTAGTTTTTAAATATAAATTTTTTATTTTGTATTTCTTTACTAATTTGTAAATAAAATCATTTTAAAATTCATGGGGTTTTGCACGTTGATCGAAATGGGTAAAACATTTTGGGACGGAGGGAGTACTAAAAAAGAAAACAGTGAGGTGCTGTATCGGAGAATTGGTACCTGAGAACCAATTAGAGCTGGTGGAGGTTGCCCGTAAAAGAGTGGACGCGTAATACCAGGTGCACCGGGAGGATAAAATGGCGTGCGTGGAGCAAGTGATGGTGCCATCGTAAGTGGTCTCATCTCTGAAAACTGTGTCTGAAGATACAGGAATACAATTGGCATAGAATTGATTATTAATAAAAAAAATTGTAAATAACACTTATTAAGACACAAACTAAACAACTGTGAATAAAACTCGTGCAAATGTCCCTTTTCAATTAAATATGCAATTTACAAACAAGGCACTTCATGGTAACTACCAAAAACTTTATTTATGATTTTATGTTACCTGCAGATTTGCTCTTCTCTCTTCTTTCCGCTGTGCAAGAGCAACATAAAGTGGCTTGCTGACTACCAGTTTACCATTCATCTCAGAAAGCTAACAAAAAAAATTCTCAATAAGTGCAACATTTACTTTATACAAACACAAAACCAAAATAAAGAAACCTCAAAACAGAATTGCTCTATAATCCTTTACTAATACTACGGATTAGCTTACAGCTCTAGAAGCTGCATCATGAGTCGAGAAGGCAACAAAACCACAGCCTCTGCTAACTCCACTGGGATCCAGCATCACCTATAACATCAAGATTACAAAACAGACAGCAAAAGATCAATGCATCTTGTGGAATACTCCGTATTATGTAAAGTTGTAAAGATGGGAATGCTTTACTTTCCTATCTTTGAAATCACTTGCGATGGAAGCATACATGAGGTCATCCAAGATGAAATAGGATAGCTTTTCTAGTGTATATATATAGCCTAGTACTCTACATCATTAAGTGTGAAAAAAATAATAAGTTATTCTCTATAATTCACCCATTTAAAAGAGAGTAGCAATTTGATATGACAAGTTGACAACACATAGCAAAAAAGACAGTCATGATTTCTTGAAGTACTCATGGGCATACCTTGCATGATGTTACCATGCCAAACTGAGTGAACAGATCCTTGAGCTTGGTGTCATCAATACTCGCATCCAAATTTTTGACATACAAATTCAATCCTTGGTATTTATCCACTGTTACATTTTCACTTTGCTGAAACTTACTTTTGAGTTCTTGTTCCCTTTCTGGTTTCTTTTGGGCTTTCCCAACAAACAATTCCTTATCATCAACTTTCTTTCCATTCAAAGCTTCAACAGCCTTAGCAGCATCATCAGCGTTATCAAAATTTACAAACCCAAAACCCTTTGACTTTCCATTGGAATCCCTCATCACTACAGCACTAGTAATATTCCCAAATTCACCAAAGATTTTAACGACGTCCTCATCAGTTATGGAATCTGATAGGTTCTTAATAAAAACATTGTTGAACTTGGTTCTATTCAAAGAAGCATCTCTTTCCTCTTTACGTAGGTAGTGTCCTACGTAGACTTGCTTGTCATTAATGAGCTTGCCATTTAACTTACATATGGCATTTTGAGCCGATTCTTCATTATCAAACTGTACAAAACCGTAGCCCTTGGACTTACTGTTAGAATCAGTAGCTATCTTGCAAGAAACGATATTCCCAAAGCTTGAAAAGGTGTCATGTAAGGATTTGTTGTCAATTGACCTATCCAAATTCTGCATAAATTTTAACAACACGTGTTTTAGAGAGAGAAACTTCTGTAAATTCAGTGGAAAAGGACAGCACATTATAGCTACAAACTTAAGCAGACCCTACATAAGTAGAAATGCCAGCAAAAAATGCCCATACATCTACCATAATTAAAAAAGAGATCATACAATTATAGATACCTTAATAAATAAATTAGCCGCCCCACTCTTACGTAAACTAGGGTCACGCTGAGAATACATCACCCTAATTGACCTGTTATTGACAGGAGCAAAGTTCAATGCACTTATTGCTTTCTCCGCTGCAATCAAAGATGAGAAATTTGTGTAACAATGTTATACAAGTAATGAAGCAACTTAAGAGTGTATACTGGGAAAATAATTGAGAATTTATATGCATGCTGTCTAAAAGACTATTTGACAGGACTCAAAAGTTCAACTCTTCACCAATACTATCTTAACAAACCCCCAAAAAAACCTTGTGGGAATATACAGAACACATTTGATAAATTTATAAATGCAGTAGATTATTGAGTATCAATTTGCTCTCAAAGTGTAGAAGAATGAAATATATATTCAGAACTAACAGTAATAAACCCAAAACTGACACCTTTGTGTCTACTGTACACTCCTGTGAAGCATCATAATTGATAAAGGCAGTCGACGAAGCAAAATAAAAAGGATACACATAAAGAATGGCAAGTTGGGCTATAACTTGATAAGAGAAGCATGTGGCGGGAGCAGAAAGTTGCACTAATGGCCATACTTGTTGCACAAATTACCAAAGGAGGAATTCCGTTCAGAGTTAAGGGTGATGACAAATTGACAATTACTGATAATGTAAGAAAAAGCAGGCTGAAATGATTTGGTCGTGTCTACAGTATAAAAACACAATGACACCTGTAAAGAGAGTATAAGGATTCTACGTTGAGGGGAACAAAATGGATAGGCCTCACACAACATGGTATGAGTAGTTCAGGTTAGATTTGGTGCACTTGAGCCTCTGAGTTCTTGGAGGCATTAGGGTTGTAGAGACCATGTAGGAAACGTGTGAACATTGTAAGCATTTTTCACTCACTGCGTGTCATTGTTTATCAGCTTCCCTCATAAGCAACCAATATATTCCTTGAGGTAAAGGTAATATCCAGAGACATTCTGACCCCAATTCAAACCCTACTCTTCAAAGGTATTTACTCACATTAATCTACCAAAGCATTTCATAATTTTCATTCGTTGCCGTCCTTCTAGAGCCGACGCATAATCATGAAATGCAAAATATCAGCAAACATTTATTAAACCCTAGCATGCAAATGAATTAGACTATAATATCCAAAGGAGAGAAATTTTAAAAGCGAAATTCAAAGATTCCAATTTCCAAGAATAATCTAAGAAGCTACATTGTGTATACCAACCATCATGAGGATTGCTGTAGTTGACGTAACCATAACCCAGAGATCGACGAGTGCTTACGTCCCTACACACCCTTACGGACATCACCGGACAGACCTGGTTAAACAGATCAAAAAGATGAGACTCGGTCACGTTACAGTCCAGGTCCCCGACGTAGAGTGACGTCGTCTGGAGCTGGCTTGCCGGGACGCCATTGCCTAGAGCCACCGGACTCTGATGCTGAACCTGAATCTGAGCCATTAAAGAGTACTGATAAAATTACTCTTTTTTCGATCCTTCTCCTCTGATATTGTTGGCTATCGCTAAAAAATGCAAGAAAACACGAACTGATATGCTATGGGGTTTTGAATGTGATAACAGAGGAGAGGGGGAGGTAAAATGGGGATATAAATCGCCGGAGCTCAGAGCCGAGCAGCAAGAAGAGAGGGTAAAAAAGTTATTTTACTCTTTTCCGGGAGGGCGGGGAGGGCTGCACCGCGAACCGGCGAGCGGGAACACCGCTGAATTATATATACTCAGCTGAGTTCAGCTGCCTAATCTAGAAACCCTAGCTAGCTACAGGGATGGCGGGGTTATTTTTTTACGGAGTATAAATTCTTTCCCTTCTCTGCTGGGCTTTGGGATGGATGGGCTTCGACTAAAGCCTTATTGGACCATCTGGGGCTCTGGGCTTCTTCCGCATATGACTTTTTAGACCATATAAGACTATACGACAGTTTCTTGGCCGATTCAGTTGGTATTTTACTTTAAATTTTTGTTTAAATTTATTTAGCCTCCGTTAGGTACACGAAATTTAAACTATAGAATTAGAATTGAAAATAATAATATTAATTCTAGTGTTTGGTAGCACAAAAATAAGTGGATTCAGAATTAGTAGTACCAAAAATAAATTTGAATTAGAAATTTTAATTACATCCAAACCAATTTCGTAGAATTTCAACTATCAATTCAATCTCAATTTCGTCAATTCTGTGTAGCAAACGGACCCTTAAAGTAAATGATATTTTCAAATTTCAATATTTTAAATTAATCAAATGTAGTGCATGAATGGTTTAAGCATACCACTCGGGTATTCCACAGCTTAAGAATCTCCGTGAATCCTAAGGTGCGTGTTGTGAAAAGACTTCTCGATAGATTAAGTGGCAAAAGTTCTAGAGGATTCACATATACTCAGTCTATCTCAAATTAGAGATTCTCAAGTTTTGTTTATAGAAAAAAATAGGAAGATGAAAAAATAAAATATGAAATAAAAAAATAGAAATGCAAATATGGAAAAATAAAATGAAAAAAGAGAAACACACAAAAATACTTTTATACAAAAAAGAATTCTTGGAATGTTTAAAAAAAGTTACTAGGATTGAAATGTCCAAAAAAAACAATATTCTTCTTAACCTTTTCTTTTCTTTTATTTCCTATTCTATTTCTCTTTTTTTGAAGTTCCCATAAAAAGTTTTTTCTTTTAAATTTTGGAAAATAAACAATAAAAGAAATGCAATATATGTTCATTACAGTATATTTTTTATTCAAACAAAAATAATTTTAAAATTTAAGAATATTCTAAAAAATAATTTAACAATTTAAAGCAACCTTCATAGACAAAAATACAAATAGAGAAAAAGGAAAAAAAATGGAAAATTAGAAATGAATAATAGTGCCCTCATATAATTTGATAATAAGGCACTAATATCTTCCTTTTTGCGAAAAAATGATTTAAAAATAATTAAAGAGAGAAATAAGTGCAATATTTTGAGATTATAAATACTTTTTTCGTCAGAGGGGTAAAATGTCCGGCACATCGAAGGCGCCAACGCCGTCATACAAGAAATATGACGTCAGAAATCGAGATCCGGACGCCAGATCGGCTGTCTTGTTAGTGATTGACATGCAGAACTACTTCTACTCAATGGCGAAGCCCATTCTCCCGGAGATCAGGACAACCGTCGATCTCTGCCGCGGTGCGTCGGTTCCGGTAATCTTCACTCGACACTGTCACAAGTCCCCGGAGGACTACGGGATGCTCTACGAGTGGTGGGACGGCGACCTTATCATGGACGGCACTGTTGAGGCGGACCTCATTCCCGATTTGGGCCGGGTAGATACTGATTTGGTGGTTGAAAAGCACACATACAGCGCCTTCACAGGTAACATTTTCTCAAAAAAGCATGATATTTTGGTCAATTTTGAGCCAAACTTTGGTAAAAAATCCAATAGTTTGATCAAAATAGTAAATCTGTAAAATTTTTGGCCGGAGGAAGTATTGCATTTGGTCACATTTGAGACTCTAAAATGAGTTAAAATTCAGTTATTTTATTTTCTGTATTCAGTTAAAATTTATCACCAGATTCAAATGCACAATTAAAATCTGTACTTATTACAAGTTATATAGGAGTATATTTTTTTAAAATAAAGATAGCTCATTATTTCTTAAAGATATTGGCTCATTTTTGTTTATAAAGAATGATCATTGGGGGATATTAGATGAAGGATTATCAAAATCATTTGGATATATCATATACCTACTGATAACGCGTGTTAGGTACTAACTTAGAGGAGACATTGTGTGGGATGGGGGCAAAAGAGGTAATCGTGACGGGTGTGATGACCAACTTGTGTTGCGAGACCACGGCAAGAGAGGCTTTTGTTAGGGGTTTCAGGGTTTTCTTCTCCACGGATGCCACCGCCACTTCCTCAGCAGAACTGCATGATGCAACCATAAAGAACATGGCATATGGTTTTTCATATTTTGTTGACTGCAAAAGCCTTCGGGATGCATTTTCAAAATCTTAACTATAAGCCCCTTTTTACAATCACTACTAATGAAAGAAGCTGTTATTGTTGTATTGCATCTTGCTTCTTTTGTTAAGTGTTACAGTGTGTTTTAACGCAGTGGTTAACATGAGAAAAGGTGGGTGCTTTGTTGACCTATTTATGCCATCATTGCCGTGTTTCTTAGCTCTATTAATAATGAGAAATGTCTGGTCTTTGAGGATTTTATCTTTCTTTTACAGTTAGTTTACCATTAGGTTCTCTTTCGTGTGATTAATGGTTATGTGTTATCCTGTTGCTGATTTATTTTAGTCTTTTGGACTGTTATAAAATTACTTTATTAAGCCTTATTGCAACAAATAGACATTTTAAATAGGAGGGAGTTATGGAGGTAGTAAAAGAATTTACACCACAAAAAAAGTTCTGTTCCTCATTTTCCTCCTTTCCAAACAGACCCTAGGAGAACAACCCGGTCTATGTTTGAAGTACCAAACAAAAGAGTAAAAGATAAGCAAAGAGTATTACATACAGTACATTACATGAATACACTGGCCTATCAAATGGATCTATTACTTGTGCAGATATTGATGAAGCTCAGACTTAACACGCCTTGAGAGCGTCACCTTTAAGCCATATTTCATGTACAGTGTCAGCGACATCCTTGGTACTACTGGATGATTCTCTATCACCTTCACTTGATAACGGTACAATATGGATGCAGCTGCAAATTTCATTTGGTAGTAAGCAAAATCCTTTCCCAAGCACAACCTTGGGCCGCCATTGAATGCTGCAAACTTGTAGGCAGACTCACTCGTGAATCTCCCATCTCGAAGCCATCTCTCAGGTTTGTACTCTCTGCAATCTTTTCCCCACACACTCTCCATTCTCCCCATTGCGTAGATTGCATATATCACTTTGCTTCCTTTCTTAAGCCTTGTCCCGTCTGGGAAAATGTCATCCTCAAGAACCTAAAAGGTGGAGAAACACCAATTAATTTCTAACAAATTATATGGACTACTCTGTATTACTTTATGATATGAAAATAATGGCATGATAATGATTTGTTATGTGCATATTTTCAAAATATCATGTTACATTTGGTTTACCACTTTACCTCTTTGTGATCCACGGGAACAGAAGGGTACAGTCTCAGAGCCTCTGAAAGAGCAGCCTGAAGATAGTCCATTTTCTTGATTTCCTCTGGCTTGAATATCAGTGTTTCCTCACACTCTGTGTTATGACGGCTATCCCTTGAGTTCACTATCTGGCAGATTTCTGCCAGAATTCTTCCCTCCACCTCTGGTTTTTGATTCAATAACCAGAAAAACCAGCTTAGTGCCACTGATGAAGTGTCTCTACCCGCCAATATGAAGTTCACACATATATCACGCAAAAACTTATCTGAAAACGGGCTGCCATGTTCGTCCTTGAGCCCCATAAAGACTGTTAGAAGATCCGATCTTTGTTTGATACCTTCGGGTGATGCCAAAGACAGCCCCTTCTTCCTTGTCCTGATGACTTCGTCTGCAAACTGGTCGACCTTCTTCAGTGATAGTTTCAGGTCCCCTTCTGTCCCCAAGCCCAGATACCTCATGGCCTTCCATATAAATGTAGGGATCACAAACCGCATGATGGTTGCCTCTGTGGCAGCTTCAAAAGCCTGGGCAAATGGGATTTCTGGCAGACCAGGCTGCAAGCACCCGGGATCAACCCCAAAAGCTATCATGCAGATATTGTCAAATGTGAAGCGTAGGAGAATGTCCTGCAGATCAAGGGGATCCGCAGCCGATTGGCTGATGATGGACTCCTCCAGGACAGGCAAGAGCCTCTGGTGGACAAGTTCCAGCAGAGATTCAGCTGTGAGGCTCCGGAATTTCGAAGAGTGGAACTCAATTCCTGCTGTCTTCCTCTGGCTATGCCAACTCCCCCCATCTGCACTGAATATCCCATTGCCAAGAAGATCTTGAACCGTGTTCCGGAAATACCCTCCTTTCGGAAAGTTTGAGAACTTTTCCTTGAGTAGATACTCCAGGTTTCTGGGATCACAGGTCACCACGCAGTTGAGATTAGTGAACCACGGGCCTCTGAAGGTAAACGTACCATTCGTTCGGCACAGAACACCAGAAATCCACTCATAGAGATCCTTCTGAACACCAAGCACCAAAGAAGGCAACATCCCAACAACTGGCCAACATGCCAACCCATGCTTTTTCTCCTGCCTCAGCGAATGTATCGCCAAGAAAACCACTAGAGCAAGGATCAACTCCACCATTTGAATCTCCGACAAGACAAGAATCGGAATGCCCCGCGAAGGGAAGTCTTGGGCAGAGGTAGAAGAGTTGGAGGATGTAGTCATGTTTGCAGGGAGTGTTGCAGTTGGATGTGGGAATGAAGTTATATGGCAGAGTTTGTTTGTGCGCTGCTAGCTGCATCGGTTTAGTTTTGGTGAGCTGAAAGTTGAATGTTGCATTTTTCGTGTGACTAACCATCTCTGGGTTTGCTTTTTACGATGCCTAAAACTGATGAAATGCATTGTTATCGTGTTGTTGTGCATGCTTTTCAATTGTTTTGTTGACCGTTTTGTTTGTGTATGGGAAGATGTAAAGTTGGTTTAACACTTAACCTAAAATTCATCTTTTCTCCCCATTTGCTTCTTTTCTTATCTGTTTTAAACCAAAAAATATAAAATTAAAGTGACGTGATAATAAAATTTGGGGTGATCCAATCCGCCCCCTGTTGTTTTCAATGGAATGAGTAGCATCATTAGGAGTGCAAAAAATAAATCTAGTGTTGACTTTAATCAGAAAAACCGACCATGATTACTCTCAAGAAGTCTCACCTTGGCCCGAATAACCTCTATATTACTCACGATCTTATAGAAAACTCAACATAATAAAATGTAACGGTACCCTACATCTAAAGATTTTAGGTCGAACGGAGTGAACAAGCTAAGTTCCAAAAAGAATTGTTTGAATTGAAAAAGTATTGATTCAATTAAAAAATGTTCCGTAATTTGTTTGACCTGTATCAGTTCGAAATTTGAAGTTAGCCTAGAAATATTGTCCAGAATGAAAAATTAAGCAAAATAGCATTTTTTTAAAAATAATTTTTAGACAACTTGAAATTTCGAGCATATAATTTGTAAAAATTGAACTATATGTATATAGCCATATAAAATTTATGACTACACATTTATATGACTATATGCATATAACCTATCACATATCTGAAAAAAAATTAAAATGCGTAATTCTCAAAACAGATATTGGAATGTGTAGTTCTCAAAACCGGAAAAAAATTAATTAAATGTGTAGGCCCAAAATGGTTCTCAAAATCGATATTGATAGATTCTTGGATTATGCTATGTGTACCTCAAGATTTGTACCTCAATTTGTACCCCGCAATTTTGCACCAACATTTTGTGTTAGTGTAAAACTAATTTTTGTTAAACGCACCAACATTTGTGTTCATGTAAATTTTTATTAACGCACCAACACTTGTGTCGGTGTAAACCATCGAAATGTTTGTGCAAACCTGTGGTGTACAAATGGGTATATTTGTTGGTGTAAGTGTAGCATGGTCCTAGATTCTTATTTAAGGTCACTAATGTTTCAAGAAAGTTTAAATGAACTAGCAACGTCATCAATCAAACAATTTTGGTAAAACAGCTTGATTCCACACATTTGATCAAGGAATTGCATCATGAAGGACAAAAAATATACTCGGTACAATTTTTATTTATATTGGTATTGTAAATATCATGATACATTGATTATAATCTTGTTTTCTATCTTTGTTAATTATTGTCTTCATATAGTTTGTGATACTATGGAGTATGAAGTACGGAGTATATACTATTTAAAATGAAATATCTTATTTTACTTTAGGGTGGCCTTCTTTTGACAACAACCCTTGTATTGATAAATAATACGGAGTATGACAACAAGGCCTACGGTGTTCCGTTCGAAAAATTAATGGTTCACATCTCTTCTAACTCTCCTAAACCCCTGCCTCCACCCCAATGACTCCCATGCCCCCACCTAAAATTGCTGATTGGCTACAATAACATTGTAGCCAATCGGTGATTTTGGGTGTGGAGGAGGAGGGAGGCAGGGGATTGCTGGGGTAGGAGGTAGGGGGTAGGAACCATCACTTTTTCGAATGAAGCACCGTAATCTATTGTTGTTATAGTATGACACCCCTTTTGTTATTAAAAGAAGGGACCGTTTACTTTATTATTTTACTTAATACGGAGTATATGAGTACTATATATGTACTTGTGTAGGGGCCTCTCGGTAGGGGTAGAGTATGGGGGTTTAAGGAAAGGTTAGTGGTAAGAAATGTTAATTTTACAAACAAACCACTGTGGGGTGCAGTGCTTCAATTAAAGTGGTGTTTCAATTAACACTTATTAGGGTGATGTGAATTTAGACTTCCTCTACAAGTAATTCTTGTAGTTAGTTGCATCCTCTTTGTCTTTATATTTTCTTGGAATTTCTTCTTCTTGAAGAATCGCATATTCGCTTGCAAGTATCTTTTAGTCTGGGTAATTGCTTAGAAAAGATGGTTTGTTGCCTTGTGATTCTTTAGTTTCGGACCTTAGCTTCTAGCTTCTCCAAAATATATAGTCTGGGTAACATAAAGAAGTAAAAGATAAAGAGGAACGAAGAGACAATGTGTATTTCATTTGTTAGATAATAATATTAAGTATTCCTAGTTATGGTAGAAGTTGTATTTTAGTTAGTTTCCATTCTCTATTCCTAGTTGTGTTAGGAGTCTCTTCTATATATACTCTATCATGTACTTCATAATTCAGGGAGCAATATTATTATTCCAATATTTCAACGTGGTATCAGAGTCATCGCTCTTGGTGACCTAAAAGAGTTATTTGCTTCCGCCGCCGCCGCCGGTAATTCTGGCGACGGCGACTCCACCCCATTCACCTCTATTTTCTTTTCTTTCTTTTATTCTCAAATCAACTTATCCATTCAAATGAAAAAAAAGGAAAAAAACCTTGTTGAAATCACACAAAAAGAATCATCAAAGAAGGAACTTCTCTCTTGTCATCTTCATGGTTCTTCAAAAAAAACTCCAACTCCTCACAAACTCTCTCAACTCATCATATCTTCTCAAAAAAAAAAGAGAAAAAAACAATTGTTGTTTCTCTCTAATTCACCATATCAAAATCTCAGCCCCAAATCTTTCTTCCATCACCAATTCTTAGCTCACTTTTTTTCTCTCTCTCAAATCACTCATTCTAATCATCAAACTCTTTTCTCTCTTCTCAAAGTTTCTAATCATCAAACTCTTTTCACTCATTCTAAAAAAAAGGTTCTTTGCTCCCATCGCTGCCGCCGGTAATTCCGGCGACGGCGGCTCCACCCTATTCACCTCTATTTTCTTTTTCTTCTTTATCCTCAAATCAACTTCTCCATTCAAATGAAAAAAAAGAAAAAAAAACCCTGTTGAAATCACACAAAAAAACTATCAAATGAGAAACTTCTCTCTTGTCATCTCCATGGTTCTTCAAAAAAAAAAAACCCAACTCCTCACAAACTCTCTCAGATCATCATATCTTCTCAAAAAAAGGAAAAAAAATTATTGTTGTTTCTCTCCAATTCACCATATCAAAATCTCAGACCCATTTTTTTTCCATCTCCAATTCTTAACCTACTTTTTCTCTCTAAAATCACTCATTCTAATCATCAACCTCCCTTCTCTTTCTCTTTTGTTGAACTAATAAAAATCTAAAATAAATCAGCACAAAAGCAAAGCAAAGAGGGGAAGTAGTGAAAGAGGAAATAAGACCTCTACAACTCACCCCTTCAAGAAGGAAATAGGGCATTGCCCGGATCCAAGAAAAAGGCAAAATATGTCAAGGATCTTCAGTCAAACAGGCACCTCCAGTAGCCTTCTCTATTCTTCTTCGACGTTAGCAGCTACTAGCGCACGTCAGACTTCTCTCTTCTCCAACGGCGTCAGCAGCCACCGGCGCACGTCAGACTTCTCTCTTCTCCAACGACGTCAGCATCCACCGGCGCACGTCAGACTTCTCTCTTCTCAAAGTTTCCAGTTTTCGGCTAGTGTCCAAGCTTCCTCTTGCTTCAGCCATAGTTCAGCTTGAGGGGGAATGTTAGATAATAATATTAAGTATTCCTAGTTATGGTAGAAGTTGTATTTTAGTTAGTTTCCCTTCTCTATTCCTAGTTGTGTTAGGAGTCTCTTCTATATATACTCTATCATGTACTTCATAATTCAGGGAGCAATATTATTATTCCAATATTTCAACATCATCTAGAGAAGTGTGTCTTTTATAGGCTAAACAAAACAGAAAAATGTGATGAAAGTCCTCCACTTTTTATAACGGAGTACTACATAGAGCATATCCCACTAAGGACTAAATCTAAGAATAAGTAAAGTCACTAATTAATCTAAAAAAAGATTATAAGCTAGAACCGATAGTACAGACATATAGGGACTGATGAATACAAAGACTAATATGTATATGTGATGGTCTCATGGAACCTGCTACATGTACCTTAAAATTTGTATCTCATTTGTACACTAAAGGTATGCAACAACATTTTAATGGTTCACACTGATACAAAATGTCGGTGCGTTAACAAAAATTTACATTGGCACAAAATGTTGATGCGTTAAAAAAAATTAGCATTACACCAAGTCACTAACACAAAAAGTTGAAGTTGGTGCATCTCTGTAGTGTACAAAATGGATTACAAATTCTTAGGGCACAAATAGCGAGACTAATTTCTCCTTGATCAGTCTATCGGATCTTCCAATTAAATTCAGGATGCAATGGGAAGAGTTGAAGGGTTTTATCGTCCTCCTCTTCCAATTTCATCTCTTCAAATGAGTTCCCGTTTTTCTTGATTGGACTAGCAGCCATCTCTTCCCCCTCTCTCCTAAATGTCGTTTCTCCTACAGCCTGCACAAACAAATAATTCAAAGAAGCTAAGTAAGTGATTAAATTAGTATGATCCAACAAATATTAATTGAAGCTAACACGTAAATATACATACATACCATGAGTAGGGGGTCCAAAGTGAGTAGTGCCGGCGGTGAATGAATATGTTGGCGGCGGCTGCGGTGGTGGTGGTGGTGGTTGAAGGACGACGGAGAAGCGGAGGAGCAGGCGGCGGCGTTCCGTTTATGCCTCTGCCTCTCGCGCGCCTTGTGGTTTTGAAACCAATAGAAAACGTTCTTCCCCTCGATCCTCCCGTACTTCTCAAGTTGAGCGGTGATGTGTTCGATCTGCCGGGCGTTCGGGGCTCGCATCCCGCCCCTGTACATCATTTCCAGCACCCCTATCTGCTCCTCCGTCGGATTCCACCGCGTCCCTCCCCCCGCCGTTAGCCTACTTTCCCCCCACGAACCATCACCACCTCTCGCGAAGCTCTCGAGATCCAACGCGGCGGCGGAAGTCTCCCGGACATCCGCACGCGGCGGCCGCAAACGTGCGCACTCAAAATGGGAGAGAGATAATGGGGTAGCTTTCATCTTTTTCAGGTGCATTCTGGTTATTTGGGTAAGAGTGACCACTCCATTTTATACACATCCTTTTAATATTTTTCAAAAGTAAATTCCATAATTGGTCCCTTATAACAGGGGAGTTTCCATATTTAGTCCTCTATTATCAATTATTACCCCCGTAGTCCTTTTTTTAAGGGTACCTTTCCACAAATGGTCCTTTTTTTGATCTTCTGCCGTGTTGGTGTTAATTTAAAGGCTAAAAGTATAATTTGACATCAACATTATGTCTAGTGACGTGTTCTGATATTGGTTAAGCGGATAATACAAAAATAATGATTATGATTGTAGGCTAGGATTCTGACGAAAGATCACATTTGTAGACTATAGTTGTCGTAAAAAGCGACTGTAATTCACAAATGACGCAAACGGAACAGCCTTTGGAATTGTGTATGACAAAAAAGATACATTATCATTGTGAAATTGTACTTTTAGCCCTCAAATTAACACCAACATGATAGAAGATCAAAAAAAAGACTATTTGTGGAAAGGTACCCATAAAAAAAGGACCACTGGGGTAATATTTGATAATAGAGGACTAAATAGGGAAAACCCCTTGTTATAAAGGACCAATTATAGAATTTACTCTTTTCAAAATTATATTTTCATTCTCATCTTTTTTACCTATTCCAATAAAAGAAATTTTTCTGAATAGTGTTCCAATAAAAGAAATTTTTCTAAATAGGAGTAAAACATGGATAAAGTATCAAAATAAGAATTTTATGTTTTTATCCTCAAAATAGGAGTTCGTAGTGTGTTAATGAGACACTGTATATATATATATATATATATATATATATATATATATATATATATATATATATATATATGAATAATTTACAATACTTTTTAGTAATGTAAATGATCATAAGTACTGTAAATACATTTTAACTTCTATTTTAAGAAAAAATCATAAAACTCTTATTTTGATATATTTTCAATGTTTTACTACCTACTCTAATCCTTTTTTCATTTCAATTAAAATCTCTCTTTTATCCACGATAATTATTAATCTACTAATCAGATTCTTTTTTTCAATTACAGAGTATAATACACATATTTTCAAAATAGAAAATTTAATGAGACGAAAATAAACGCACTGTTTTTTTTTCCACGTATGATTATCCTACCGAGGGAGTTCAACAAAAAAAATTAGAACAGGGGGACAATATGTACAAAATGAAAAAAAACTGGAATCATTTTGCCGAACCCAAAATTTCAACCAATGTTTTATATTGTCAAGTTGTACGTGGTTTAAAGTCAAAAAGGTAATTTCGGGAATCACTACTTGTGGCACTCAATTGCACTACCCTTTGTCTACTTCTTCCCAATACGACATCATTGTTCCCACCTGGAACTCTAGCTCCCCTCATTGTTTGACTTTTCATGTTTGACCGAACAGATTTTTATTTGTATTACAATTAAATATGATTTCTAATTATACTAACAAAAAAAATCATTTTATTAGAGTTAGTTTATTGAAAATTTTTGAAATTTTATTTCTTTATAGTAATATGCAATACAAATTAAAATTGATTGATAATTAGGTTTATCTAATTTAATTCAAAACGATCAAATTATACGAATACACTAAAAAATATGTCCAACTAAACAATATTTCTACAACACAGTAAAACTCAGCTAATCAGTAATTTAATCAATAAACAAGCACTAATTGCGCATTATATTTTGTAGGGATTTAGGGAACATCCCATATCAATTACTCCCTCTGTCCACCATAGATCTTCCAGTCACTATTTACAGAGTCAAACTTTACTCACTTTATTTGCTCATTTTTACTAGTCATTTCATAAAATAATATAGTCTTGTCACCTCTAGTTTTGTAGAACTTTTCATGTAGTTTATTACGGAGTCTTATATAAATTTTATTTTAAAATTTTACTCCTATAATCAATTAAATTGAATTAAAAATAAAGTCGGTCAAGCCTTGTAACGCGTAATAAAAAGATCTTAGGTGGACGGAGGGAGCATCATATACGTAGCACTACGTATTTCAATTTAAGAGATTCATGTGTAAAACGTTAGGGGGCAACAACCAACACGAAGAGTCGAGGAACAACAATAATCTTCTTCTACTATGCTAGATTGGTTTTAAATAAGCTCCACCCAACGACTAAAAATGTACGAGTATGTTCGAGCTTCTCTACTTTGAATATTCGAGCCAATTTAACTCCAAAATCAACTAAATCTCGTGCATGCAATTGACGGGTGTATGGGTGGATTCAGGTCATGCCGGGGTACAGAGGTTTATCGAAGGATCAGAAAGGTATGAATCATCAATTTTTCAAACAGAGCACCAATATGATCCTCCAAACGGGGCTCACGTCATAGGATGACATGTGGAACTAATGTCATAGGAGCGCTCCCCATTTATATACTCTCTCCATTCTTAAAAGATTGCCACAGTTTGATTTTTTTGTTAAATTGTGGCACCCTCTGACTAGGAATTAAATATAATTTAAAATAATTAAATATTTTAAAAAATTGATGCTTCAAAATTATATTTTAAAATAAATTCAAATTTAATAAATTTACATTATAATTAAATATAATCTTCCTATAATTCATGATCAAAGAATGACACAACTTGAACAAAAAAGTTAAACTATAGTAATCTTTTAGGGATGAAGAAAATATATTCAAATAAGATTTTGGAGCATAGAGAGAAAGAAAAAAGGAGAAGGAATGGGCCAAGCTTTAAAATATTTGAATAGATGAAGCCCAAATGAAAGTCTAGAACCAATTGTAGTCCAAATCAACCAAGATCATACTAAGGGGTGTTTGTTTTTTGGCCAGAAGAGCTTCTGGCCTCTTTTGTCTGCGCCGCGCAGACGCGCGCAGATGCTGAGCTCTGCAGATTGTTTGTTTTTTGGAAGACATTTCACTCAAAAAAGTCTTCCTAACATCTTCTTGAGAAGACATTAACATATGTCTTCTAACATCTTCTCCATTTTTTTTCTTCTACTTCTCTCAAACACCACCACCGTCCACCACCATCACCACCGTCCACCATCACCGCCACTGTCGTCCACCACCACCGCCACCGTCCACCACTACCACCGTCCACCACCGTCCACCATCACCGTCACCGTCCATCACCATCGTCGTCCACCACCACCGCCACCATCCACCGCCACCACCACCACCGTCCACCACCACCGCCGTCAACGTCCACCACCACCCTTCACCACCACCCTCCACCACCACCACAATCGTCCATACATCACCACCGTACACTACCACCATTAATTTATATAGCAGTCTACAGACATTAAAAAACAAACAGTCTTCTTCTTGCAGACCGCAGACCTTCGTTCCACCACTTCTCCTGCAGATGTCTACAGTAGTGGTCCTAATTAAAGCCTCTTCCAAACTCAAACCTAAAACCTTTTAAAAAACAAATTTACTCCCTCTCTCTAAAAATTCTTCATTTCTTTTTTTTAACTTACAAAATTTTTCCTCTTTCTTTTAAAAAATTACTTTTATCTCAATTAATTCTTATCTTCTTACTAATATTTTACCCATCACATCCTACTTTATCCATCACATTAAAGTTATTTTTAGAATATCAATATAAAAATATCTCTCTCTTGAATTTTCTAAAAATCAAAATGGAAACGTAGGGACGAAGTAGGAGACTCATAGGGCGTCTGGACTAGCGACGGCAATGCTTCCAACGGCAATCTGATGCACCACCGACTCCGGGTTTAGTGCATTGATTATTGCATTCTGCTAACTTATACTCCGTATATTCAATTAAATTGTTATTCATGATTTAATTTATCCCGAAATATATGTTCTTGAATGTTAATTGATTATTTTTTTCATTTGATTATTACGATTATTTTAGATAATTTTAAATTTATAAGCGAGGTCATGATTTTGAGCATGTTTTTTCATTATTTCATTTTGAAGAGGTTATTTATAATCCTCATATATAGTGTAGAAATTTGGCAAAACTGATCTGATTTTCATTAATCACAAACCGATATATATACAAGTACATAAACGGGCTAACAGGTACGGGCCCAATATCTACGGTTATTTACAAATATCCGCTAACACTCCCCCTCAAGTTGGAGCATGAAGATCTCGAATGCCCAACTTGAACAGTAAAAAATCAAAAACAGGTTTGGCTAATGGTTTTGTAAAAATATCGGCCAACTGATAACGTGTAGGAACATAACGCGTAGACACCTCATGGCGCTGGACAGATTCCCGAACTGTATGACAATCAACATCAATATGCTTCATTCGTTCGTGGAATACTGGATTCGCTGCAATATACAAAGCTGATTGATTATCACAATATAAGCGCGGGGGATATAAGATGGGAACACCCAACGCGCCCAAAATACCATGCATCCAGCGTATCTCAACGCATGCATTGGCCATGGCTCTATACTCAGCTTCTGCAGAAGACCGCGCCACGGTTGTCTGTTTCTTTGTTTTCCAGGAAACAGGAGAAGTGCCCAACATAATGAAATATCCGCTAACGGACCGTCGAGAAAGCGGACAACTAGCCCAGTCAGAGTCACAAAAAGTTGTGATTTGAAGATTGCTAGTAGCGCTCAGAAAAATACCCTGACCCGGGTGACTTTTGATGTAACGCAGAACGCGCATAGCAGCATTCATATGATCAAGATTGGGTGCCTGCATAAACTGAGACAAAACATGAAC